AGTTAAGGGTAATCAATACAAAAATAAGAAGGCTCTTATGGAATCTATCTTCAAAGCCCTTGAAGAAAAGAAACTCCTTGCTAAGGCTAGTGTTCAAGTTACTAAGAAATCAACTTTCATCACTGAAAAGAAACCAGTTGTTGCTGAAGAACCAAAGAAAGTCGTAGAAAAGAAGGAAGAAAAGAAAACCGAAAAGAAGTCAAAAGTTGGAAAGAAAACTGCTAAGAAATGAGCTTACAGAAATCTGAATTGATTCTTTTTTGTTAGTAAAATAGGTTATTTATTAGTTTAATAAAAAATTAATTAGATGAATTTATTATAAATAATATATTGAAATATATCTGAATAATAAATAATTGAAAAGTGTATATTAAAACAAGGAACTATGAATATGTTTTTCTTATTAATTTAGAAAATAAAGTAATTTAATTTTTAATAAACATAAACTTTAACTTAATCTTTTTTTATTTGTTTTTAGTTTTACCAATTTTGAAAGTATAAAAAATAATAAAATATTTTTTTATTAATTTAATGAAAAATTAAATTAGCTCGTTATAACTCTTTCTTTTCTTTTGGTTTTTCAGCTTCTTCACTATCAGAATCACTTTCTGGAACTTCTTCTTCCTTCTTTTCTTCTGGTAAAGGAGCTGGCATTTCAAATTTAAATAAAGCATTTTCCATAATAAATTTCATAGTATTTTCTTCACTTGGCATTTCATTCATCTCAACCTTCTTTGTTTCTCCATCCTTTTCACTGACTAAATAGATCTTTGGAATAATATTCAAATTCCATTCTGGTGAAACGTCATCAGTAGATGCATCAATCCATGCCATTTGGAATGTATCAATTCCTTGCATTCTCTTAGCAACTTTAGCAAGTGGTGTTGTTAAGAAATACTTACACATATCAGCTCTTTCAACACAGAAGATTATAAGACTATCTTTACCTTTAGTTGTTACAAATTCATTGAAATTGTGACCAGTTAATTTAAAAACATCTTTTTGATCTTCTGGTTTAATTGGATCAGATAATTGATAATATAATTGAGCAGTTCCATTAAGAATACTTTCAATGTACTTATTGATTGTTTCTTCATCAATTGTAGCCTCTTCATCCATAACATACATATTTCTCTTATTTGTATGAATAACAGAAATTACTGGATAAACATTACCAGTATGATGCATATGTTTAACTTGGTCTTCAGAAATTACTTTATTAAATGAGAAGAATATGAATTTTCCATTATATTTCTTTGCTAATCCTCTAAATAAATCTTCATGAACTTTTGGAATTGTTCCTTGATAGAAGTACCATAAAGTATAAACTGGAAGATTTTCAATTCTTCTAAATAATGGCATATTAACTTGATGGAACAATGGGAATGTTTTAGTATTAGCCCAATCAATGAATTCAGTACCATTAAATTTATCTAAAGTAGTGGCTTCATAAGTAAATAATTCTTTAGAATCACCATTATAAACAGATATTTCAAAATTATCCATTTCAGTATTAAGAGCATAGAAATGAAGATAATCTAATTCATCAACTAATTCAACTAATTTATTTCTAATTTGGTCATCAGCTTCACTCTTAATAATAACAAATGAATTTTCTTTTTTCTTTAATTCTTCTATTGCTTCTTTAGTACTTTCAATTATAGGTGGAAGTGATTCATTTTCAAGGAATTTTTTCATGGCTTCAATATTTCTTTCTCCACCATAAACCTTCTTAGACCTTCCTTTACGGAAAAGAATTAATGTTGGATATCCTTCAATTCCTTCTTTCTCACAAATTTCCTTTGATTCTTCACAATTTACTTCTGCAAATTTTAATTTATTGTATAATTCTTTAGCTAAATTTTCATAAATTGGTTTTAACGCTTTACAATGACCACACCATGGTGCATAATATTTTACAAAAACCATGTCTTCATGGTCAATGAAATTTCCATAAAAATTATTATTTAATGTGAATATTTCAAATGACCTTTTGTCTTCTTGAGTTGTATTATCAACTTCTGCAAGTACAACAACTAAAAGGGTAATGAAAAAGAAAATTTTCATTATTTTAATTTTTAGTACTTACCAGTTCTTTTTTATTATTTGACACGTGGCAACTCAATCTTTTAATTTGAATTTTCTTTTTTTATTGGTAAAGTTTATTTTTCATTCATTTTTTTTTTTGATAAGTGAGATTTTAAACAAATACAAGTTACAATCTTTATTATAGTATATATATTAATATTATTAATTATCTTTGTGTTGTATTAAACTTGAAAAATTAATCATTCTTTTATTTTTTGATTATTTTTTTTCTATTAAACTTAAAAGACAAATTATATTTATGAAATTAGCTTTCTTCATCTCTTTCTTATATTAAAGAATTGAAAAAATAAAAACATAGTCATAGTCATTTCGGTGATTATAAATCAAAATAAAAAGTTATTGTCCAAGTAATTTATGACTAACTTCATAAACATATTAGTTTGTCAAAAAAAATGTCCTAAGTGTTGTAATTTTATTTAATGTTTTTGAGAAAAGCAGCAATTATGACTATAACAGATTTGTATTTAAGAATTTTCTTAAGTATTGAAAATATCTAATTATTTTATATTTTTTGAATTATTTTTTGTTATTATTCTTAACTGAATATTTTTATATTATTAAGTTCACAATGGTATCTTTTCAATTATAGTTTCATCAAAATATTATTAGCAAAATATTTTTGATACTATAATTTATGTTATTCAATTAACAATAACATTTAATAGAAATATAATAATAATAATCTTTTTAATAGAAATTTTGATAAAAAAAATAGAAAATAGTTTTATATAACGAAAAAATATATTTTAAGAATTTTTGTGTTCTGAAAGAAAAATAAAAAAAATCTTGAAAAATAAATCATGGCAGAAGAAAAGAAGTATCCTATAATATATCGTAAAACTTATTGTGGGTTTGCGTTATCTAACGCCTTTGATTCTTTTGAAACAAATAATACCTCTGCCATTTTGAGTACTGACTTAAGAGAACAATTTAATGTAGAATTTGATAGAGTTTGTTATTCAATATAACTTTCATACATAATGAGAAGAAACACCATTTATGAAACAGGCATTTATAGAAACATTTCAAAACCACGCACAATCAACAACACACATTAAGGGAAGTGGGTATTATAAATCAACTGACGGAGAGTTCTGGGAATTTACAATTAAAAACCCTGAAATAAAAAGTGACAGTGATAATATCCAACCGAAGTTATTACAAATATACTCTGCTGCAAGTCAAGAAAATAAAAAAGGAAATAAGAAGAAGAAATGAATAGAAATTTCATCCTTTTGGTCTTTTTTGTGTTATTAGAAATAACAAAATAATTGATAAAAGTTATCTCAAGATAAGTGACAACCCAATTTAATAGAAGAATTTCAAGTTACATCATTGTAATGATATACAAACAATTATATAACCAAAGTACTCAAAGTGTGTTGTTGCATAATATTATGAATAATTTTTTTGATTGAAGAAAAAGAAAAATTCTATAATAAAAAAAAATGGACAACTACATAATATTTATCAAAAATAAACATTGAAAAAATATCATGTAACTTTATATTATAATACCCTTTGATATTGATTTATATATTTTTTATTTTATGTATTGATAATACATTTGTTTTGTTCCTTTTAATAATAACAATAACTAGTAAATATATTAAATATTTATATAAGATATTTCATCTTATAAAATAACTTTTTTAGTTATAGAAAGCAATATTTTTTCATAATATTATTACTGATATGAAATATTAACTTTGAACCAAACAAGTACTAAATAATTGTTACAATAACAATAAAGAATGAAAGTTAAAAAGATGTAATGTTCATAATTTTTTGGTTTTAAAACCAAATTATTTCATCTATTATTAATAGATGTGAATAGAAAACTACAGCATCTATTAAATCTAATTTTCATGATGAAGCGTCTTGTTTTGTAACAAAGAAAATTCATTTTATTTATTTATAATAAGTAATACTATAAAGAAGAAATAAAGACTCTAGAATAAATATTGAAAAGATCTTTATATGGTTTAGATGATTATCAAAAGAAAACTAGTTATAACAACATTTATGTTATTTAAATTAAGATAATACAATAAAGTTAACAAATAAAAAAAGAACAACATTATCAATTGAAATAAATAACAGAATTAACTTTTTAGAAAATTGATATTTCATTAATTTATTTTTGTAGAAGTTCTATTTTAATATTTACAAAAATTCAAATCATAAAAGTAGTTTAACAAAAATAAATAAAAAAAAAACTAAAGAAGAAAGAAAAAGAAAAATATATAAAAATGATGGAAATAAACGGGAAATTAGGAAAAAGAAGAAAAGTCAAGAAATAAATTAAAAAAGATAATAAAAAAGTTAAAATAAATAGTAAACAAAATGAAACGAAAGAAAAAGAAGAAAAGAAGAACTTTGTAGTACAGTGTTGAGGGGCTTTTCACAATGAATAAATTTGAATTTGTTGATTTATCTACATTCAGTAATGATTCTTCAATGTTTGAAGTATTTTCTAGTCAAGACACATCAACGATGAATAGTTTTGCAATGGATGAATTAGATGCAATACCAACTGAAGAAGAAAAGAGTTATTTTGAGTCGTTACAAGTTAGTTCTTTTGTTTATGTATTGTAAAGTATTAAAAATATAGTTCAAAAGAATAATTATTGTAGAAACTTGATCCTTCTTTTAATATGGATAAGATGTTAGATGATGATGATACTGAAGAAAATGAACAATTCCCTACACCTACTCCATATGTATTAAGTACAACTCGTCCTCAATCGAATCCAAATCCAATAGCGAGTCAAATACTTTCACATTCTTTAGAAAATCAATTAATATTAGAATATTCTCATCAAGATAAATATCCTAATAAATGGAGAACTCAACCTTGTTTATTCTTTCAACGTTATGGATTTTGTAGAAAAGGTGATGAATGTAATTTTTCTCATGAAATCCCCGTTTCAGGTAAACAATTTGTAAGTGTTGATAAGTTATTTAGAACAAAACCTTGCAAATATTTCTTTACAACTGGTACTTGTAGAAAAGGTGAGAATTGTAATTATTCTCATGATACTTCTGTTTGTTATATATATTATTTTTTGTTGTTTATTAATATAACTATTGAAATCTTATCTTTTATAGAAGTTCAAAGACTACAAATTTGATTGATTTGATTTTGATTCTATTGTTTTGCTTTTTTTTTTGGAATAACTGTTTTTTTTATTTCTTTTCTTTTTGTTTTTTAATAATTTTTTAATTTTTTCAAAGTAATAAAACTTTTCTTTTGCAATTATTTTGTTTTTTTTTGTCTCTCTTAATTAAAATTATATTTAAATTAAATACT